GAAATAACAGTTAGCAGTAAATTTACGAGTACACGTCTCACTGATATTCTTCCAAGTGGTTGGCCATAGCCGTATATCATGAGTTAAATGGATACGTTTTACGTAAGAAAGCGTCATTTCCATTTTTACGCTTGCTATCTGTTATTTCTTCAATTTGCTCGTTGACCAGTAAAAAGTTCAGTAGATCTCGGCTATCAAATCACGGGTCATGGTTCAGTTGAATTTTCTTTTCTATTCCTGGAAGACGTTTTTGGGCAGAAGTTCCAGATCCATGGTTTTTGGAATTTTCTAACGGTCTCGGAACTTATTTATTTTTTACAGTGACGAGCCGTCCGCATTTACACCAAATCCTGCGCGACCAGCATCGGCGATACGAAGACGGCAATCACCGGAAGACTCGGCTCCGCCCAAGAAGAATCCTCGCACTGAAGACGAAAGCGAAGGCTGAGAGCTATCCTGTTCCCAAGTGGAGCTTGACTTGTTCTTTTTAAATTAAACACAGTCTATTACCAACGCTCGTTATTCTTAGTTGATCGTCGTGGACGACGGTGAACTTGCTGAACCGGCTGCTCGACGTCAAGTAAATGTGAAGAAGGAGCGCTGTACATTCTGCAGTAAGGTCGGGTAAAATTTCGTATTACATCCAAAGTCTCAGTAGAGATGTTGTAACACAAGAATACCTTGAGTGGAACTACTCGCTGTTTTGGAAATTTGAAAAAAATATTCAAGAGATGAATTGTTGCAAACCTCAAGATAGCGCCAAGCTCATCATTGGCTCCCTCAAACTAGTTTTGCTCCTGCTCTCTGATCAGGGTCTAACAAGTTCTCTTTCGTGACCAAGGTTTTTGGGGTCGTTACTGTCAAAAATACTCGTACTTTTTCACCTCATGGTCCCGATATTCCATCAGTATTCTTGTGAATCTCACTTAGCAGATGTTTTCTTTCTGAACTGATGGGTTTTTTCGAGTGGACTCTAGCCTAGACAATCCGTGGGACATGTTTTTCGTTTATCCCTGGGGAATATCTTTTTAGAGCAATTTTTAGGGGGCGTGTACAAGATTCCTCATCCGAATTGGGTGATCATAATGAAGATGAGAGAATTGACTTCATCCTGAGGAGGTGGATCATGGTTTATTCTGAGGGGTGGATTACGGTAATCCCACTTTTGAGCAATTAATCTTCTCGGTCTTTTGTCACTCTAGCTCACCTTTAATCCTCGCGGAATCCGTCAGCCTCAAGATAGCCCAGCGAGAGGTCCCATGGAGTTTGAAAAAAAAGGGCAGAAGTCTTCCTGAAAAAAAAGGAGGGGAACATTTTGTGCTGTGAATTATTTTGTTTCTTCTCCTCTGTTGACGAAACAAGTCCTACAAATGGGCCTGCTCACGCTTGACCTTCTCTTCTGTTCTGGCAATGATAGCAGTCATGTTTCTGCAACGAATAGATGTGTATGACGCGGCGTATTGCAGCCAGGCGGCCTTGTTCTTAAGAATGGATGTCATCCTGAGCCCGGCTAAAGTTGATGCGAAGTCCTTAGGCTCCCGGCTGCGCTCTGGGCCATGCTCCTGTTCTACGCCCATCTACTAGAAGGATCATGCCGTATGCTTCTGCATGCCCTCCCAAATATGCGCTGCATTGACAGTACATCTTTGCGCTTTGGAGCTGTTGAGCCGCAGCATCCAAATTCCGCTTCCTTCTTTTCACCTCGGGTGTCTCCTTCATGCAGCCTTATGAGCACTTTGAACCACTGCGATATTGCAGATAAGAATTCCGGGTGCTGATTGTTTGGAGCGGCAGAGTTTGCACTTTCAACAGTCCCTTCTGCTAGTTCTTTCAAGTACTGTTGTGCACGCCTGCAACCTTCCTGTGAAACGCAAGGTAGTCTAAGAGAGCGCATTTTGGTTAAACTCAAGGTTGGATGAACTGGGTCTCGATAAAATCCGTTACTGCCCCACAGCAGCTGAAGGCCTGAGTCGCCAAAATCTCTTCATTATGTTACAGATTGTTGTAACACGTATGCCCAATTCTTGTGCTATTTAGATTTCCAAAACACTAAACTTTTTGGTTAAGCATGTACACAATATTACACTTCGTCTTTGCAGCGTGTTCGACCAATCGTTCCAAATCTGATCGTGCACCCTACGCAGCCATACTGGCGAGAAGCCGTACCAATGCAAGTTGTGTCCGTACGCGTGTGCGCAGAGCTCGAAACTCACGCGACACATGCGCACGCACGGTCAACAGGGCAAGGCGCGTTATCCATTGTTGCAGGTTTTTAGCACTATGCTCGTGTGCTAACAGTATGTTCTGTGCAGGAGACCTATCGATGTTACATCTGTCAAATGCCGTTCTCCGTTCATTCAACGCTGGAGAAGCACATGAGAAAATGTGTGGTGAATAACAGTCAGTCAGTAGCTCGTGACGCTTCTCCAGCAGCAGGTGAGGCCTCTTCGGTTGATTCGGAACATAACCCTGGTTGGGAGTGATCCCATCGTTAAGATCGACCTCGTCCGACTCCATCCGCTCTAGCCGATGCCACTTCATTGCTAGCTCTCTCGAATCCACCACAACAACCACCATCTTCGGTGTCGCAGAGCAATCAGATCGTTCTCAATTGGCTTCAGGTTGGATTCTTTACAAAAACTTGTGTTCTGTGACGAACTATTTGAAAAGATACAGTTGCTCTATGTGAAGGACAAAACGGAGAGTGTGGTTTGATAACTTACTACTCGGGTAGTGCAGTTTCGACTGGGCTCTGTTAAGAACCATTGCCCTGAACAGTACTGAGGCCGTTAGAGTGCTGCATACTTCGCGATCGGAGCGACTAAATCGCTCGCGCAATCAATACGACCAGATCGCAAAGTATGAGCGCACTCTTAACCATTTGTATGATGTCAACGCGTGGTCATCTATATCCATTTGGAGTCTCCTGGGGTTGTTATCACTCTCTCGTCTACTGCTTAAAGGTCCTGGTCTCGTCGTAGCCCATCCAAAACCTGCAGGCATAGGAGTTTTCCCAAGAGATACTGTACACTCACCTCAGAGGACTGTCCTTCCCATGACAAGACGAATAGCTGCAGTGGCGTGCCACTTATCCGCTCAAAAGTGCGCAGTAATGGGGCTGTAGGGTAGTGGTACCAGCGCATATTCCGACAGCGCTCTCCTCAATGTGCAACACTTGCGTCGATACAGAGGTCCCGCAGCGAAATCGGCGGTAGAGGACAACCGGAAGTGAGAGGTAAAGGACAAGTAGCGCATTTTGGCACTATTTACCCTTTACTGCCCCAATCCTCCGAAAACAGGCCAGTTTTGACCGACTTTTTTCTGCGTTGGCAGAATTGGCTGAAAATTTGTTTCCTGGGGTAGTTTGACCTCCTGAACATGAATATCACATCCGCTCGGCACGAAACCTCCTGGCGCCCGCGCCACAGGCGCCGGCGCCAAAATACCCTAAATCACCAAATTCGCTGAAAACTTGTTCTTAGGTAGTCTGACCTCCTGAACACGAATATCACATCCGCTCGGCCCGAAACCTCCTGGCGCCCGCGCTACAGGCGCTGGCGCCAAAATACCCAAATCACCGGCGCCTGTGGCGCGGGCGCCAGGAAGTTTCGGGCTGAGCGAATGTGATATTCGTATTCAGGAGGTCAAACTACCCCAGGAGACAACATTTGAGCCAAATCTGTCCACGGAGAAAAAAGTCGGTCAAAAACTGGCTCAATTCTGGATGGTTGGGGCAGTAAAGGGTAAATAGTGCCCGCGTTTTGGCTATGGACAGGCGAGCGGTTGGCAGTGTGGCAGCGAGGGCGAAGACTGGAGACGGCACCCAGGTATCACTACCCACTAGCCCCGCTTCCGTGCACTTTTGACCGACGGAAGTGGCACACTACTGCTGCCGCGGAGCCATTCTCCCCATACACGGGAAATCTAGACCAATGGGGTGAGTGTACGGTCTGTCTTCGAACCTCAGATGACCTGAAGAAAATTATCGGTTGGTGGCTGTTTCGTTCAAACATAGCATTTAAGGAACTGGATAGGGTAGAAGATCCTTAGCTAGGTTCGCGGTACTTCCTCCAGGGTTTGAATAACTCTAGGTATTGCAGGCATTGAACGTCTCTCACGCTCCTGTGCGTCAACCACTGACTTCCGTTGGATCTCTCGGTGCCAAGGAGGAATTCCAGGAAGTCGACGAGGACATGGAGGACTCGGAAGCTTCTGAGCTTAACGAGAGGCTTAAGAAGGTACGTATATCCTCTTCCCATGACAGTCTAGAGCATTCTGGACGTCATCATGATTCAGGAAGCAGCCGAGTCGTCAGCTGTCAGCGTCTGAGTCGTCATTCGCCCTTGGTGGCCCCATCGATGCTGCTCGCGGGAAGGCTCCAAGCTTCTTCCCGCCATCTTTTTCGCTATGTACCTAAACGCTGTGTGAACAGTTTTGGCCCCATCGCTAGTTTCAGTCAGCTTCATCCTGTATTCAATTCCCAATTCTTCTACCAGCTATCTCTGTCCACGTATCTTTCCGTAATAAGAGTTTTACACGCGCGTTATTCCCCATTCTTTTCTTTTTATTTCCTTCTTACTGTACTATATATGCTGTATTTTACATTGATGATGTTCATTTTTATATTATATATACATGATTTTTCATATTTGTTCTATATAAGGTTTTGTTGATGTTCTTTCCCGGTTAGTCTTGGATCCCGGTTAGTTGTGTGTGTATCTATCGTCTCTTTTTCATCTTCTTCATCCTTTTCATCTTCATCCTTCTGCGTTACACGACAGATTCGACAAAAAGCGTATATGCCTTTGCACAGACTTCTAAAATTCTTCAATGTTCATTGTCATGTTCGTCCTTTCTCGGTTAGTGCCCGGTGTAGATGTTTTCGGTGAAGTTCATCCGTTCATTCATTCATTCATTCATTCATTCATTCATTCATTCATT